TGCAACCATGCTCTAGTGGACTTGGAGGTATGCTTGGGATCATTGTCCTGTTGAAAGGTCCAACGTCTCCCAAGCCTCAGGTGTGTGACGGACTGCATCACGTTTCCATCCAATATCTCCTGGTACTGAAGAGAATTCATGGTACCTTGCACACGCTGAAGCTTCCCTGTACCTGCAGAAGCAAAACAGCCCCAAAGCATGATTGACCCTCCACCATGCTTCACAGTAGGCAAGGTGTTCTTTTCATCATAGGCCTTTGTTCTTCCTCCTCCAAACATAGCGTTGATCCATGGGCCCAAACAGTTCTAATTTTGTTTCATCAGTCCACAGAACACTATCCCACAACTTTTGTGGTTTGTCCACATGGCTTTTGGCATACTGCAGTCGACTCTTCTTATTCTTTGGAGACAGCAAGGGGGTACGCCTGGGAGTTCTGGCACGGAGGCCTTCATTACGCAGTGTGCGTCTTATTGTCTGGGCTGAAACTTCTGTACCCACATCTGACAAATCTTTTCTCAGTTCCTCAGCAGTCACACGGGGACTTCTCTCCACTCTACGCTTCAGGTAGCGCACAGCAGTCGAAGTCAGCATCTTCTTTCTGCCACGACCAGGTAGCGTTTCAACAGTGCCCTTTGCCTTGAATTTTGCGAATGATGCTTCCTAAGGTGTCTCTTGGTATGTTTAACATCTTTGCAATCTTCTTATAGCCATTGCCCTTCCTGTGAAGAGAAATCACCTCTTCTCTTGTCTTCCTGGACCATTCTCTTGCCTTCACCATGTTTGTAACCACACCAGTAAATGTCTAGAAGGAGCTGAGTATCACAGTCATTTTTAAAGCTGCCTAATTGGTGCTTATTATGCTTGATTGCTGCTCGGTGACATCCACAGGTGTTTTCAATACCTGATGGAAAGCACCTGTATGAACCTCTGTTCTTCAGAGTGGTAGTCTTTAAGGGGTTGAATAATTGTGGCAATGAAGAAACCACATAAGAACCATTTACTACTGTATTACATAAACAATTGATGTCATTTTAGTTGCATTTGGGTAGTTACAACGTCCTTGTAGGATTTGATTCTGAATACAATTCCAAATGTACACTATAGTCCCTAAACCCCTTTACAGCATTGGGGGTTGAATAATTTTGGTCACAACTGTATTTGTTACCATTTTCTCTGAATTGTTAACCATATTTTTAAAACCTCAGCGTAATGTTAAATACTATTTGTTGGGTAAATATAGACTCGTTCTTTTAACCCACTTTTTACTCCTTCCTTTGCAACCACCACCTTGACTCTAGAATTCAAAGGGTTTCCCAGAAAAGTTTTCTATATGGTTACCCAGAAAATATTTCTTTAGATTCAACTTACGAGTATTCATAAACACTTCATACATATTCATTGGCTTTTTTGTAGCACAATTAAAACATGAATTCAAATGGTTATAAAGCCTAACCATTTTATAACCTCCCCCCTCCCCCCCCCTCCCTTTCCTTACCTGAGCCCTAATTTGATCCAGCACTGTGCACGTCTGCAGTTCTTTTCTCCCCTCAGTTTTGAGTCTCACAGGCTATGTTGGGGCATCGGGAGTCCATTGGCTTCCGCTGCTGTCAATCAAAACCAGTGAAAAGGGGTGAGGGGCAGAGTCCCCGCTGTTTGTGTCAGTATTCATCTACCTTTTAATCAAAGTAGCTTGACTTGGGTTATATAAATCCCATCATTTACCATTCACTTTTTATGGAGTTGTGCAGAGTCTGTGAGGAAGCACTGACTATAGAGCAGCAATTGCTTTCCTTTCAGTGACAGGAGTTAATCCTGTCAGGATCTGCAGAGTGACTTTTATGTGGTTATGTTATATGCCAAGAGTTCATTTTGTGAATATTTTTTACTAAAAACCCTGCTTTTAGCAGTATCATGCTGTGTAGTGTTTCCTTCTCTATGGTCTCATGATTATACCTTTGTGGGTGAAGGGAGGAGGAGGAAATGAGCTTTATTGGAGAAGCACCTGCCCCTGATTGTTGAAGCTTTGAGTGAGCGATTCTGATCTTTGAAAAAAGAAAGTGGATTTTTGTCTTGCATAAAGAACTACGGTAAACTTTGCGGTAATAGTTTTTCTTGGATTTTACCATAGTTGATGATCATATATGTGTTTAAAAGGAAAAATTGTATTGTTTTTATAATATTTTTGTTTTGATTTTGCATTATTGTGTTGGATGAATAATACAGCTGCAGTGGAACACTAGTAAAGTCTTTTTCACATATAAAAGATTGGGTTTCATTGTACTGAAGCACAGAGTTGGGTTTGTATAATTGTTTCATATATCTCTTCAAGCCAAATTGTTTACCAGTCATTTACTGAGACTGTAGCTTTTTCTCTCTCTCTTTCCCTTCCCTCTCCTCTCCCTCTCCCTCCCTCTCCTCCCTTCCCCTTCCTCTCCTCCCTCTCCCTTTCTCTCCCTCCCTCTCCCTCCCTCTCCCTTTCTCTCCTCCCTCTCCCTTTCCCTCCCCTCCCTCTCCCTCCCTCTCTCCCTCCCTCTTCCTCTCCCCTCCCTCTCCCTTCCTCTCCCTCCCCCTTCCTCTCCCTCCCTCTCTCCTTTCTCCCTTCCTCTCTCTCTCCTTTTCCCCCCCTCTCCCTCCTCCCCCTCTCCCTCCTCCCCCTCTTCCCCCCTTCTCCCTTTTCCCCCCCCCCCCTCCCCTCCCTCTTCCCCCCCCCCTTTTTCCTCTTCCCCCCCCCCCCCCTTTTTCCCCTCTCTCCCCCCCCTTTTCCCCTCTCCCCCCCCTCTCTTCCCTTCCCCCCCCTCTCTTCCCCCCCTCCCCCCCTCTCCCCCCATCTCCCTCCCTTTCCCCCTCTCCCTCCCTTTTCCCCCTCTCCCCCCCCCCCCCCCCCCTTTCCCCCTCTCCCCCCCCCCCTTTTCCCCCTCCTCTCTTTTCCCCCCCTCTCTTCCCTTCCCCCCCCCTCTCTTCCCTTTCCCCCCCCTCCCCCTCTCTTCCCTTTCCCCCCTCCCCCTCTCTTCCCTTTCCCCCCCCCTCCCCCTCTCTTTTATTTAAAAAAAAAAAATTTTAAAGCTTCCCTTTCCCCCCCCCCCCCTCCCCCTCTCTTCCCTTTCCCCCCCCTCCCCCTCTCTTCCCTTTCCCCCCCCCCTCCCCCTCTCCCCCCCATCTCCCTCCCTTTTCCCCCTCTCCCTCCCTTCACACGGGCATTCCGTATGTCCGGTTTTCATCTGTCCGTTTACGGATGAAAAACGCACACCCATGTATTTCTTTGGACTTGCGGGTGTACACGGATGAACATCTTTTTACATCCGTTAATGTCCGCATCCGTTTTTATGAACGGAGAAACACCTATTTTTCTTCCGCAAAAAAACCCAGAACAGACGAAAAACGTATGTCAACGGATTGTATGCAGCCTAGCAGGTCAGGAAAGGAAGGGGGGGAGCGAGTGCCCCCTCTAGAACCATACCAGGACAAATGTGCCCCCCAAAGCACCTTGTTCCATGTTGATGGGGACAAGGGCCTCTTCCCCACAACCCTGGGCTGTGGTTTTGGGGGTCTGCGGGCAGGGGGCTTATCGGAATTTGGAAGCCCAATTTAGCAAGGGGGCCCCCAGATACCGCCCCCCCCCCCCCCCCATGTGAATGAGTATGGGATGCATGGTCCCGCTACTCATTCACAAAAAAAGTGTAGTGTGAAAAAAGACAGGAGGCAGTCTTTGACAAGTCCTTTATTAAAAGAAGGAAAATAAAAGAATGTCCAGCGAAGTAGATCCAACGTCAATCACGCTGCCGCGGCTTGAAGAAAACAAGCAGACAAAAAAACAAAGGCTCCACTCCCAACGCTGGCTCGTGGCCATCTGTCCCCATCAACATGTCAACAAAGCACCCCCCCATGTTTGAGGGCATGTGGCCTGGTATGGTTCAGGGGGGCACTCGCTCGTTTCCCCCCCCCCCTTCTTTTTCCTGACCTGCCAGACTACATGCTTGGATAAGGGTCTGGTAGGGATTTGGGGGGGGGGGGGGCCCACACCACCAGCTGTTAGTGGGGAATCCTGCTGACAGCTGATGACTAAAAACGGATGGGAAAAAAAAGATGTGAACGTATGAAAAAAACGGAGCGCCTGTTTGAAAGGACCCTTACTGAATTCTCATGAGTGGTATAAAGATTAGCCTTGGGTTTTTACCACCTGCTGGTCATTATTCAGCATTACACCCCAGGTAATTCTGGTTTGCACACCTCAATTAGGATTGTTTAAATAGACTGTGGTGCATTCAGCCTTTGTCTTTTCACCAGGTCTGGCTTACTGCTCATTCTGTGGATTTACTTTATACTGTATACTGCAGCTGCACTCAGCTTGTTTATACCTGTCCTGATAATCAACTTGGTATCTATTTTATTGCTCTGATCATGTGGCTGAAGACATCATGCCACTTTTCTTCAGGGTTGCACCTCAGAGTCTATATCCTGTATGGATAATACAGAGGGTCCATGTAACCTTTGGTTATTCATGCTTTTTTGTATGGATATAGCAAACTGGATTATTGCTTTTAGCAGGTAGTTATTGTTGCTCATGCTGTTTGCCTCCAATGATGTCACTGAGGAAGAAAGTAATAAGATGTGCCCACAACTGATTATTGGGCATGTGCATCCTTTACATTCGGTTGTTGCTTACATTAGACTGTTCACATAAATGGATAATGCAGACCATATTGGCATCACTAGGATGAGAGCCACAGACACTGCCTAAGATAAAATTAGTTACATGCCTGCTGAGAATGTACCCCTAAAATCTGTTTTTAAACTGTAATTATAACAGCCTGTATATCATATTGCTAACATTATCATTACATTTTGAATACTTGGTTGCAACACATTCCTGCTTTTGTAGGTAAATATTCTGTCATTCATTACAATTTCAAATACATAACTCCTTAAAAAGAAATGTCAGTCATTATATTTGTTGGTGTGGATTTTTTATCCAACAGTAGATTTTTTTCTTCTTTATCCAGTGAATATTATTGTGACGTAAAGACAGACAAGTTTGCAGCATCTGTAGAGCCTGAGCTGTGAATCAGATATATAATTTAAAAAAAACCACACTTACAAGGTACTTCCATTCTTATAACTACATAAAAGGTTTAACATTGGTGTGCAGTCTATTCCACCTTTGTAAGAATGTCGCTATGTTGTACTGTGCAGTTTTCTGTTTTGCATACTAACATAATTTAGCAATTTTGAATAGAAGTACCAGAAACAAACCCCATCTGCTAGAAATCCTCCCAATGGTCACCAACATATTGCAATTGAAACTGTTTTTTAAATTAAGTCAATATGTCATCCCATCTTTATCTGAAATAGCAAGCTTCTATAATCCAGTTTTATAAAAGAAATAAAAAAAATAAACACTTGTCCTTGCATGGCACATTGAAATTCCAATATCTAAAAAAAATACTTCCTAGTTACAAAATAAAGTTTAGCAATGCATACATCCGAAATTCAGCAATAAAGTGTTATGCTGGCCATACATGGATCGAAATTCATCCAGTTCAGCAGGGACCGTGCAAGTTTCAATCCAAGTACGGGCAGGCTGGTTATGCAATCAATCAACTTGTATACAAACAGCCTGTCGGGTTTTTTCCCAAACAATCCATTTTGTTGGCTACACTGATCGTTGTAATCTGACAGTGTGGAACGCTCCCTGCTTTCAGAATACAATACCACAGTGGGAAGGATTCCCCCATCCACCTCGAATGTGAATTGGGGAATCAGATCATTTATTTGTTTATTTATTTTATACTTATGTTTTTTGCACAGCTCTTCTTTTACTGAAATCGCTAACTGAAAGGTTGCTCCTGTCAAGCCTTAGTTAGTTTTAAAGAAGATGGGGATTCTTTGTTTTCTGAAATTTTTATGCAATAACTATTGTTTTTAACCATCTCTGTGCTTCTGTACACTAACAGTAATGCAGGGTTTTGCTGTCACAGTAAGCCACTTATCTGGGAACTCTTGCTTATAGCATGTGTAGATGTTGATCTTTTTCACGTGGTGTAGAAAAAGGTCTAACGTTTGTGTTTTTTTCCTAATTAAAAAGGGATCATAGTTATCTGCTCTGTGCAACAATATTTGCACAGAAAGCACCATCTTCTGACCATCCTCCGCTGGCTCTGCCACCTTCTCCCTGCTCTGGATGCCTCCTTAGCAAGCTGAGTGCTCTTCACAGGAATTTGACTGACAGCCCTCCAATTCCCATTTACTCCAGTTTCTCCTGTGAAAATAAGAAGTGAGGGGAGTAGTGCTGGAGCCAAAGACAGTGATGGAGCGCTGACAGGAGCAGATAAGTGTTTAAAGATAGTGGGGGCTAGTAAATACAGCATTAAAGTAGGACTATAGGCAAAACTTTTTTTCTTTTTTTTTTGTATATAGCAAGGAAGGGTTATAACCCCTGTTAGATTTTTTTTTTGCCATCTGTGTCCCATTGCTGAGATTTTCCTTCACTTCCTGTCCCATAGCCTAGTAGGAAGTGAGAGCGAATCCCTGAAAATTAATATGGAATTCCTTGGGGAACCCAAGGCCAGCAGAACTAGTATCCCCATTGGAAGATTTCCCCTCTATTATCTTTCTGGGGACAACCCAAAATTTAGGATTTTCTTTTACTTTCACTTTCAATCATAACAGGACAAATAGAGATGGTGAATCTCCTTAATGCGGGCACAGACAGCAGTCAAAACTGACAGGTTTTTTAATCCCTCTCCGCTCTATCCAGAACTAAGAAAAAAAAAAAAAAGTTTTGCCTTTAGTTAAACTTTGAAAATTTTGTTTACCTTAGACTTTAGAACCACTTTAATTGATGTGCACTGATACACTTAAATTTTACAGATACACTGGCTCAGACTTGGAATTGATAAATTCCACAGTACAGCACTGTGTTTTTGTAGGCTTGATTGAATTATCTGCAAAACCACAAAAAATTTCTGTTCACTTGTGTTTTCTTTGTTCTTTTCTTGACTCCTATTTGACTTTTAGGCTACGTTCACACTAACTTTGTCAGTAGGCGTTCGGGAAGTGTTTTTTAACACTTCTCAAAAGCCTATGAAAATTCTACACATGACAGCACACAGTGCTGTTCACACTGAAGCGTTAGCGTCGCGGCAAAACTGACGTCTCCTGTCAAGTCAGGAGGAGTTGAAGCCTCCCATTCAAATCTATGGTGCCGCTCCTCAAACGCCTGGCAGGCGTTTGCAGGGCGTTTGCGGAGCGTAATACCAATTAACTTCATTATAGGCGTATGTAGTGCCAAACGCCTCAAAAACGCGCATAGGGCATTTGGGGAGCGTTAAAAAACGCTTCCCAAATGCCTAACTCCTGTCAAACGCTATAGGGGCCTTTGGCAAGAGTTAGAAATAAGTCAAGTGTGAACGAGCCCTTAGGCTTCATGCACACTGGTTTATTAACTCCAAGTCTCCTGACAAGAGAAAATCAGAGTTAAACTGGTTTGAAAAATGCAGCTTAGGTGAGTTTTTAAGTGCGTTTAGCAGTGTTTAGCAGCATTTGGTGTTTGGGAGTTTATTTCATTGGCCAGAATTTTAATTTATTCTGGGCATTGAAATGAAATAATTCTGAAGTGCTAGACGCAGCTAGAATTCAGTGCATTTAGGCACACTTGGCATTTTAAATACCAATAAACTCTGAACGTGGTTTTTGTGCTTTCACAAGTGCCAGTAAACTCGGCTGCCTGTACACTCCTCTAAACAACTATGTGTACATGGACACATAGGATAACATAGAGGAGAGTTCACGGGCTTCAGAAAAAACTCTCTACTGCTCCTAAATATCAGGTTAGGGCAGCTTCAGGTACAGGAGGCCTTAGGCAGGACATAAATTATTCTTTTTTTTTTTTTTTTTTCATTCAAACAGTGGGTTGAATTAAAGAAAATGAATTCCCCCATTCATACATTTGTAGTGGATGAGGGATCCCTTCTGCGGAGCTATAGTCGGTGGCACTGATCAAGCAAAAACTTTCTAACAGGCTGGTCCCTGCTGAACAAGCCGAATTTTGATCCAGTTTTACTCCTTTTTTTCTTTGTGGAACTTAGGCCTCAATATATTACTTTTCCAAAAGCTGTGTATTTTGTTACTAAAAATTTGTTACTTTGTTTTAGGAAGTCGCAGCCTGATACCCTTGTGCAGTATAGCAACTGCAACGCATAAATACATGAAGAGCTGAAGAAAATACCTGATGTGTCTGAATGTAAACCAAAAATATCTTCTATGCACTGAGCGCAATCATTTCTATGTGCTTAATTATGCTTATTTATAATGTGAAGATGAAATCCATTTTGAAGGACCCTACTGTTTGAACTGTCTTTGCTCGCATACAGCTGGCTATGTGTCAAATTTTATTTCTGTTAGATCGGAACCTTTTAAGTGTGTATAATTCAATCACTTTTTTGTTAAAACATTTTCTCTTTTTATGTAGATAGTGCCCCTCTGCATATCACAGCTGTGAAATGTCATGTTTTACCTTTTTTAATTTATTTTACTTATTTCTTGATTAGTTGTGTCATAGATTTGTTTCATACATTGCAGCCTCATAGTGCCTAAGATATCATGACAGAAGACCTTTCATGACTGTCAAAGCAGTGCTAGGTCTGGGGTAAAACATACCTATGTAGCATCAAACTTGGTGACATGCCTTACCTAGAAATATCAGGTAACAGACGGTGTCCTTAAGGCTTTAGGTTGCACTTACACTAGCCCTTCTAACCAGGCACAGTTCAGTTCTACATAGTGTGTGAGTGCTCTGAACCACACTCGAGATTGCTTGAAACAGGTGGGCCTGGGTATGGGTAACTTGTGTTCTGGTACGGTTTACTGCAATGTAAGTGCAAACCGTGCTTGAGCACAGTTCTCTTCATAGAGAACTGTGTAGTGAAACAAGGATCATTGGCCTTGTTTGTCAGGGGAGTGTGCCCAGGGAACACTTGTAAATTACACTTTTTAAATCCAGTGTGAGTTCAAACCATTGGAGGAGGGGGGGAGAATCAAACTCAAGCATAATTTGGTTAAAGGATAAGTTCACGTTTTTAAAATAATAAATGCACATCTTTTTTGCAGGTTAAAAAATTTGTGCATTTATCAGCAGATCACTGGTGCCGTGCAGGACTCCTGCAGACTTGTCATTGTATCTGTCTACTCGTACCTCGTATGGGCAGGCTGTTGCACACTGACAGGAAGAGATGATGAAATACCACACAGCTCAACAGCACATGGCAGTTCTTTGAGAACTTAAGTCAAAAGCTGCAATGGCTGTTGGTGCTTCTAGTTTCACATTCACAAACCTCTGAATAAATGACGCGGCAGAGCGTGAGGATCCCCATGCAGCTACTTTTTTTTTCTTTTGATTTGTTTTTTAATTTAAATAGTGACAGCTAGTGGGAGAAGAAGATCCCCGCTAGCTGTCACTAGATGCTGCAGAGTGTCAGCAGCTACAGGGTGGGTACATGTTACTTGGTCCACCCTAAAACAGGTGGAAAGTGTACCATGTTCCCAAAAGTGAACTTATCCATTAATAGTGGCCCAAAAGTGAGTACACCCTTATTACATGGCTTGTCAAAATTGGGTATTCCAAGAGGTTTCTCATACCCGATACACCGTTGCGACATAGAAAATGTGATATTGAAACAAATGGTAAATGGTCCTCACTGCACTACATTAGATACAATGGTCTTGCAGGCTTTCTTTGACATTGTGGTGCTGCTTGTAAAGTGGTTCCCACGAGTGCAGTGCCAGAAGGTATGGGATTTTGAAGTGCTAAGGTTGAGTACTGCTTGGCATTCTCCCATACAAGTAAAAAAGTCTTATCCCACTGGACATTGTTTGATGTATTATATTTTATGGGTCCTGATTGCTGTTGCAGTTAAGGATAATCCTTAGTTGTCAGAATTAAAATTTACTCAAACTGCTTATGCATAAGTTAATGATTATTTACCATTGTTGTTTGATTGTCCTTGCACAAATAAGACATTTTGGGGGAATTCATCAAAACCGGAGCTGATAGAATCTGGAGTAAC